TTCCAAAGGGTCGGTGCTACTACTGAAAAGGCTCTCCTCCGCATAGTTGCCAGTTGACACTGACTGGCGGATGGGACTCGGAGGAGGCCTAATCTGTGTGCTCTAATAGGTCGCAAGGAGGTAATTGGCAGGAGGCAGTCTCTTGAGACCATTGAGGGCTTATCTTTGCCATCAAAGCCCCAAGTGGCCTCAAGAACAGTTGACTGCAAAGAAATACAATCCTTCCATTCCCCACCACCACCACCATCTGGTCAAAACTCATCCTTCCATCTCCCCACCATCCAGTCTCAACTGTCAGTACCTATTCTTCCCTCCCACTTTTCACCCCATCATGACTGATGAAGCTTCTTGAATAAGAAGTGAAATGTTTTGTTCTTCTTCCTCAAGGAAAAAAAGAGTCCAGTTGCCTTTTGAAAAAGCACCTTTGAGACTACTATAATCTGGATGATCTCCATAAACATTCCATAAATAATATTTCAAAGTTATTTTTCTTCGACCTGATTGAATAACTAAATAGCAATGACTAAACTTTGTTCATTAAGTTTACATTTTCATCACAGTAATTGCCCCAGAACAATACTTTATATCAATATATTTTCTGACAGCATAGAGTTTTATTCCAACTATTTTGCTTTATGGAATTATATTTAATATTTGCTATTCTAAAAATAGTTGATTAAATGAGCTACAAAACAGTATGCGGTTGATGACTGGCACTGAACTGATTGATTTTATTATTTATATATGTAAGATATATTTTGGAAGTGAATAGTAATAAAACAATAGAAGGATCAGTTTCTTATAAGAGGAAAATTTTTAGCAATGAAAAGCACAATATATCAAAACTAGACAGTGGAATTCACACTAACTCTTTCATGTTTTCAAAGAAAATGAAAATAAAATATTCTTTACTTACTAGCTATAATAAATTCATCATAAGCAGTGCAGGCATCTAATCAATATTATTTTAAATTTAGAACAATAAGGTAGTAATCTTGCCAAGAGGGATTGTTAGTATTCTGATATATTACTATTATGTTAATAATGGATTTTCCCTTTAGTGAGGAGCGTGTTTTCATTGTGATAATAAGTGATTGTATTCTTTCTACAGTACAGAAGGCTTTATCTGAAGTGGATAATTCATCTTTTTGTCTGTACCCATAGGATCCAAGTTCTTCTAGGTACTTCCATGCTTCCTTCCATGCAGTTTTATCAGTCATTACTAAGTATATCCCATGCCATATTGTTGGAGGCGGAAAGTATTCCGATCACCCTGAATCTTCCTACAGATTGAGGTCTCTCGAAGCAAAACACATGGATATGAGCCATGCTAAGTCCATTAAGAGGACCAGGAAACAGATGCTTAATATTTTAGTTTGGGCGTTTTTGTCCTTGGTATATCTCATAAATTGCTGAATGTATTTCTTTTATAGAAATGAAATAACTGTTCAAAAAACAAATCAATGAAATTATACAACATGGTGGAAAGCCTCCATTCTGATTTTTTTCCCTTCACATTGGGGAACAGAAAGTGGATGCAAGTCGAGATCAACCTAAAGTTCTCCAGCTGGACAGACGAGGGAGCTCCAAAGAGTCTCACATGAACCCTGTCTGATAAACTGTCTCTGAGATCCATTTTTGGATCAGAACCCTCCTGTGAGAGGGGGTGAAGAAAGGGCAGCATCTCATCAGACAGAGAGGGAGCACAACAGGTCCCTCATAGGTCAGAGATTTGCCCTCTGAATCGGAGCCGGGGTGGCAGCATGACAACATGGCTGCACAAGAGGTGGCTCCAAGCCAAAGGAGCTGAACAAGCACATGCAGAGACGAGATGAAAGCCTGGTAAGATGTATTAACCCACAGTTATAAATCAGAATTTGGAAAAGGCAAAGAACCTTGAGAGCATAAATAATATTGATCGACAGATCAGGATTTTTGCAAAAGGNTACCACCCAAGAAAGTGAGGTTCTAGGTGACGGAATAAACAGGCTGAAGACCGAGATGCAATTGAAGAGATGGCAAAGCCTACCTCTCAATTCCCCCAAAATAGTGCTAGCAAGAAAAGAGAACATGTATTCCTTATCTACTCTCTCTTTTTAATTTTCACTTTCGCTATTCCCTCCCCAATATTAGATTGAGATCATACCGCAGGATGGGATGTCTCTGATGTCCTGGTTTCTACCATCTATGCAAGCAAGGTGTGATGGAACAATTAATCTCTTTGTGCAAGCAAAATGTTCATCATGCTTTGCTTCCTAGTACCACATGCTGATGGGAAAAAAAATAAAGCACAACAAGACTCCTTAGGGTTCAGCTGTAAAATTTGGTGTTGTGTTGGAGGTGAATCCAGGCACTAGATGATCAACCTTTAAATGTGGTCCCAGGTGTTGTGTCTGAATCTGCAGCAATGGGCAAACAGATCTGTTCTTCCTCAGAAAAGCATGGTCAGATTATTACTGAGATTAAAAGCACAATGACAAGCTTTTTCTGTTGGCAACCCTACCTGGAACATGTTTTTTTTACCATAGTGGGGACTCATGACAGCTAGTACATTTCTGGGTTAGGAGAAATGGTTTCCAAGTCAAATGGTACGGAGCTTTTAGGAGGACTTGAATTTCTAGGGATTCTGGGCTTAGAAAATAACCCTACGTTCAATTCTTGCACAGGTTCTGTATCAACTGGATTCTGCATAACTGAACCCGGGTAGTGTTGTGTGACTTGAATGTATAATCATTTATCATTTATTACTTAGCAGGGTTTGTTCTTCTGAGTTAGTAGAATTTGGAATGAGTTGTTTTAGCGTGAGAACGAAAGGTTCAATAGACTCCATATACACCCAGCAGCCCTTTCTGTTCTTTGGGAAATAGCTTCTGCTATTATGAAAGCCCCTGGTTTCAGTCCACTGTGTTCCCTAAATTTAAACCAATTGTGAAGCCCAACTGGAGCCAGGCAGGAGGAAGTCAGTGTGCTCTGAGCTTGCTTTGAGTTTGCTACCGTTGGTGCTGAATTTGCTGCCACTCCCCATCAGGCAGTGATACAAGGACAAAACATTAAATCAATGCCTTGGAAGAAGAAGCAACTTCCAAGGAACTCAAGGAAGAGGTTCATTTGAGACTTACAGAGAATACCTTTGGTTCAATCCTATTCTGGCAAGAGTTTGGGTCTGGAAATATGACACTTGAATGTAGTGTTATGTATAGGCTTAGTGATAACATAAATATAAATGCAATGTGCACAGTATAGCTTTAGCAAGCATTATGTAATCCTAATACCTAATTTAAAGATTGATTAGGCACTGGCTATGAAATGCCATGCATGCTTAGAGAATCCTTATTCAATTAAAGGCTTATCACATATGGCTGCTACTACTATACTATTAGATGCTAAACTAGTGATTTTTGCAACTGTGATTATTTTCATGGAATCTGAGAGGAAGTAAGGCTATAAAAGGACAACTTCCCATTCCCTCCACCCCTTTACTAGGATGTCTTTATTTCTAAACGATGCTTCTGATAGAGTTTCGGTACACAATGAACTATGCAAGGAAAGCAATCTCAAAATACTACCCAATGTTTCTGTTCTCTTTTTGTCCACTTGTAAACATCTATTTCATTCAACATATTAGAGAAAATATATTCACTGAGAAAGCGAAAGAACAAAAAATGGGCTTAAAAAGGTGAGATACAGAGGAGTAAACAAGGTATTGACAAATGGCATAAAGATTATACTTTTCCAGTATATTAATTGACTTAGAATAACTAAATATATCATATGGTATTAAAGGTCTAAAAATGACTATTAAGCTCTATGGAAACCATAAATATTCTAAATACAGTCAGCACAGTACAAATCATAAAATTAAATAAAAATGAATGCTTTTTTCCCCATGCTAAAAGTCTATTCTAATTTACAACTTCTATAAATTAAAACAAAGACCTTATGCAATCAAAGAAAACAAAATGTGGCATAAATTTATGTGACTGTAGTCTGGGAATGACACTCAATTTGAATGAAATTCTGTTTGGGGGGGGGTTCCTTTTGAGATATGAACTTCCAATGTTCGCAGAAGAAAATGTAATAATTTATCTGCGCAGAAATATAGTATTATTTATACTTCTTGATGTTCCATTAAAATCTGAATTTAAGCTACTCCTCTGGGGGAAACTGTGCTGATTTCAGTCATGCATTTAGGGCAGAGAAACTGATTGTAATAAGCCATTTTAAGAAGAATTCTGTGAAAGAAATGCAGCTTGCTGAAATCAATGGGACTTATTTCCAAGTAATGTTTACTTCTAAGTGCCAGTTTAACGCAGCAGTAGTTCCTACATTTCACTTAACTAAGAATAGCTTTGCCTTCTTCGCCTTCCCAGATTGACACCTTCAGGTTTATTAACACATAGGAAGTTTTGTTTCCGACAATGTGGACTCCACCCTTAAAATCAGTAGAAACCGATCCAAGTGATGATATTTATACTCTCTTGGATTTGGAATTGACAACCGAGTCCAGCTAACCAAGATACGCTTCTCTCTTGGGAGGAATAGAACAACCTTCTTTCCAATATTTGAGCTCATATTCATACAGACCTTCTTAACCCATCATATCAGTATATGGCCTGCTCAATCTTTAACTGAAGATCTGCCTGATCAGGAGAATGGAGAATGAGCAGAGCAACTGGTTTTATAAAGGCCACCACAGTTCAAGCTTACATCCCCCACAAGCATCTAACTCTAAGGAAGCATTGGAAGAACAACATCTTCATTTTCCCAGATAGTCTATCTTCTTGACACCAGTTGGCCATCCGGCCAGCTCTTTAACCTTGCAAACCAGCCTTTCTCCCTGACTTTTTTCCACGCAGAGAGAGTGATGGCTTGTAAAGCAAGATTCCTGATTTGTATTCTCATTAGTGAATTACCGAACGAGAGATCAATCTTCTTACCTTGAACTGACAGACGCAAGTCACGGTATCACCAATCCTTAAGCACTCCCCGTCAAATTTGCAAGTATTGGTGTCACAGAGAAAGAGATCATTTTCTCTGTCATCGTAACCTCAAACAGAAGAGAAAAATGCTGTCAGCTTCAGTCTGGCAAAGGGAGGGGAATAAGGCAATTGCCCTTTTTTTAAAGCACCTAGCATAACAGTCCTTGTGGAAGAAGCATATGCTATTTTCTCATACGCACTTTGTCCAGCATCCTTTCTCCAAAGGAGTTTTGCTATTCCGGCATACTCACCTTGCTTCTGCCACCTCACCTTTTTCTCTGGGAGGAGATTCTAGTTTCTCAAAAACCAAGCATTTGTGCTTGTAAAGCAACACATTTCCTGCCCCTCCTAACAGCTTTCCTGTCCCTAAGTCTAAAATGGGAATTTCTTCAACGCTGCTCTAGTAATAAAGATAAACCAGCTGCATGGTTTTTGTGATAGGCTGCCTGGTTCCAATGAAGACTGATCACCTCCAGGTTAATAGGAGGGAGGGAGCAGATTTTGCAAAGAACTGCCGAAAAAGCCTTTCCTCCAGTTCTGATAGGCAGGTTAACAGATCTGGCTAGAGAGTCAGCTCACAAATGCCCAGTCAGTTGTCAGAGCTCAGCTAGTTGCCATCCTATTTCTGAGGGTGTGTAGCAAGGGATTAAACAAAACAGCCATTTTTCAGGCTCCGAATCTAGCATTCACATGATCCTTATGTTCTAAGGTTGTGGAGCTTGACTGGGTTTTAAAAATGAAAACATTACCTCTAGGGCAAAGGCAACATTGCTCTGAATATCTTAGGTAGTGGAGGCACAGCCTCCACCAAACCATGCCGTTCCTGTAATGTATCTGAAGTAGTTTGGGGAATACTTTTAACATGACAGAACAATACCCACCAGGCTAAATCCTACAGATGCTGCAAAACGACGGAGATATGAAGCTTTGGGTTTCTTTGACTTAATCAAATGAAGCCAATAAAAATGAGGAAACTGCAGTGCTGACCAAACGATGTGTTCAGCAAGTATTGTCCCCACCTTCTATACACAGAGAGAAAAGATCTGCTTTTGCTTCAGATTCAGAGTTTAACACTTTTTATGGGGGGCGGGGAGGGGAGAGAGAAGCTGCATTTTCCTAGTGGCTTGCCATTTTTCTCACAGTGCTTGATGCAGTTGTAAATGGGTCCTTACATAAGGAATATAGAGATTTTCACTGGAAGGTAAAATACTTCCAGAAACATTTGGAAGTCAAGCTCCTGTGGGAAGCATGATAGCACAGCTGTTAAGCACATTCCAGACAGAACAATAATTAACCTTTTAAGGATGAGCCTGATCATCGGAAAAGACAACTGATAGGGAGAGGTAATAATAACTCTCTGGTACTGCCTCTTCCTTATTCAATTAGAGTGTTTCATTTGGAGGGTGCCTGGAAAACCACTTTGAGCAGGAATGAAACTGACCAGAGAAATCAAGCAAAGGAAGCCTGCTTAACGGCAGCTTTCAGAAACAGTAGGCAGCTTTGGACCCAACACATTGCTTTTCTTCTTGGGAATAAAGTCTTTCCTCCAATTTAACTCCTTTCCAGAAAGCACCTCATGTTTTAAAGTTAAGAGAGAAAGAGGAAGAGGGTGGGAAGGAAAGAACTCGGGGTCATCCCAAAGAACTAAAAATCCCCGGGAAAATGCCCAAAGCCACAAGGCAGGTGGAAATGAGCTTTCTGGACTTGCTAGTTCCTGATAAGCAAGTCAAAAGACCGTCCCTTTTAAATGCTGCTTTTTATCTCTTGCTTGCTTGCTCTAACTTTGAAGAACGGGCAAGTGTCCTAAGAATCATTTTACAAGATCCACCCTTTGCCGGGCAGGTCAGTTTGCATTCAGACAGCACAAGCCTTGCCAGCTTCAACATCCAAAGTCAATCTCGAACAGAGGCAATTCAAGGCGGGATGGAAGTAGCAAAAGAAGAAGAAGAACAAGGAGAAGCTCGTTAGTTTGTCTCCCGGGTTCCCGGGGCATTTCCAAACAGCCCCGCGGTGGGCCGCTTTTCAAGAAGCGCATCCATCCCACCCCTCGAAACCCCTCTTCCTCTTTCGCCCGTCCGGGAAAAAAGAAAAGGATACCTCTGCTTGCAAAGGGAGAGGCTCCATTTCTGCCCCACGTTCCCGCCCAAGCTTACCGGAGCAATTCCAGCCGGTCGGCGTTTGGCAGTCACTTAAGGAGGTAGGGAAGGCTGCAAGTTTGTCCGGCCGGGCGACGATGAGCAGCGTCACCGGCAGAAGCAACCAGCAAAAGCAGTCGCAAAGTGTCCAGCTGCTGCACTGGCGAGCTGCGGAAGATTCCCACAACACCATGACTTCTGGAGTCAACTCTAGAGCGGTCGCGAGAGGGAAACTTCCCAAAGCAGGTCGGTCTCGGACAGGCGGGCAGAAAGAGGCGTCGGGGGCGGCTTAGCATCCCGGGGGCCCCAGCCAACAGCAAGCTAGGAAGAAGCAGCACCCAAGTCCTAGCATGGTGAAGAGGAAGAGGATCCTGAGAGTTTCGGCAGAGATATCCAGGGGCCTAGCCCAGCCCGGGGAGTGGCAGGAGCAAGGGCGGCCAAGAAGGAGGAGGAGGAGAGCCAGGAGGCTGGAGCAGCCGCTGCCATAAGGGGTCGGGCTGGGCTGAGCTGGAGAAAAGAGCGTCAAGGCGCTTCGCAGCCAAGCCGCCACTGCTGCCTCCTCTCCTGCTCTGCCGCCCGCATCCCTCTGGCGTTGGGAAAGCAGCAGGTCCTCTCAGCCCGCCGGGGTCACGTGGCGCAGGCAGAGCCGGCCCTGATTGGACGAGCGGGATGCAGGTCCCTGAGAAGGCGGGGGAGGGAGGCAGGGTGGCGGCGGCAGCAGCAGCAAAAGCAGCAGCAGCTGGAACGAGAGATGCTGATGCTAACGTTGGCTCGGCTGGGTCCTCTCTCTGGGAGGCGCACCGGGGAAGCTCGGGGGCGGCAACACCCTACCCCGCCCCGTGAGTTGCTGGGGCTCAGCCTGCAAGCGGCGGGTGAGTGGGAGAAGCCGCTTCCTCCCCAGACGGATGAATTGATTCGCAGCAAAGACGCGGGCGTCGGGGATCTCGGACTGGGCGACGTCTTCTGCACGAAGGAACCCCCTCGCTCTCCTCGTCCCCTGCCCGGGAAGAGCCGCCAGCTGGATCTAAGGCGCGGTGCTTCGTCGGCGCCCCCTCTAAAACCTTGCATCCTTCCAGGGCGGAGGCGCTTTCGCGGCGCGGCGTCCGCACCGCCGCCGCCGCCCGCTTTCCCAAGCCCTCCCGTAGACTGAAGAGCGCAGAGACGCGCCGCTCATTGAGCCGAGGTCCCAGCCAGGCGCACCACAGGCGTGTGAAAGTTGAAGCGCGGTCACTACGCATGTGCGAGCGCTGGAGGTCCGCGAGCGCGCGCGCGCGCCTATGTCTGTGTGTGTCTGAATGAGTGAAGCGTGTGTTGTGTATGTGCGCGAAGAAGCGGCGGCGGCGGCGGCGGCTGTGGCTGTATTTGCCACAGGCGGCGGAGGTAACGATCCGTAAATGAGACCCGTACGCGCGGACGGAGGGAGGGGCGAGGGAAGAGTCGTGGAAGACGCTAAGGCCCCGTTTGCACGGTTGTTCGAGGCGCCTGAAAGTCTTCGCGAGTAGGTTTCTTTCCATAAGTGACGGGGCAGAAAACTGGGCTGCAGCGCGTTTCGCGGCTGGCAACACCCAAGCTGAAGCGCCCGAGGTTTGAAAGTTCGTCGCGACGACCCAAGGAGCGCCGTTTACTCGTCGAGGCTGTGGAAGTGGGAAGGGAAGAAGGAAAGATGGAGGAGTGAGAAGAGAAACCAGAGAAGAGAGAGAGCAACGGCCAACAATTTAATCCGCTCTCCCGAAGAACGAACTGTCGGCCGCTGGGGGCGTGGAGCACTGCCGCAGGCGCCGTCCGCGTCAATTCACCAGGAGTGCCGTTCTCCCTGGTTCGGCTCCAGGGCTCGGAGCCACACCCTGGCCAGGTCTACCTCAAGTCGACGGCCGGAGTGTCACCACGCGGGATCCCCCGTCTTTTTCCTCCCACCCGTCCGCACCGGGCTGCATGCAAGGCCGGTGTTTTTGACTCTCAAAAACGCGTGTATCCTGTTGTGGGAAATGTACATATTTATTGAGAAAAAAAAGACGAAGAAGACGACCGAATAATTTAGTTTTGACGGCTTTTTGGTATGGTCAAAAGCGGGGGAGAAAACCAACCAGAGGAAAAGGAGGCGTCGGCAACAATGGAGAAGGGGAATCCTATTTGCCTTTTCTCCCGGAACCGAGGGCGATGCGGGAGAGAAACGAAACGCGCGAATCGCCGCCGCCAGCATCTCGCTGCCTAATTTCTTTCTGCCTTAAATCGCGACGCCTTTGGCCGACGGCCCCGATTGCTCCCCACGGGCAAACATTCGGCGAACCTTGCCGCCCGCACCGCTGCTCCGCTTCCCCGCGGAAGTCGCGCTTGCCTTTAAACCCTCCCAGTTGCGCCCGTTCTCCTCTCTTTCGGGCGCTCGCCAGGCCCGAAACCTGCGGCCCTTCCAGCCTGCGCTATGCAGCGGCTCTCGCTCCTTTGACTGCATTAGCGCGAGCGGGCGCGCGTGCTCGCAGGAAGCAACCCGGACAAGCGACCGGCGATCAATTAGTCCTGACGGCATGAAAGAAGCGGTTGGCAGACGCAGCTGCATCAGGTCTTCGAAGTAAAAGAAGAAGAAAAAAGCCTATTAGAGAGACGGAGGGGGCGGGGCCAGCCCTCATCCAAGAAAGCAAGAAACAAACGAGTTACATTTATCTATTCCCCCCCCCCCTACACACAAACACCCCCGCGCACCTTTAGATTCGGTGGCCGCTTCAACCGAAGTGATGGCATCAATTTGCTCGTTTGCACGAACGGCGATGTAACAGCTCGGAATTTGCAGGCGAGCCAGGCGGGGTTCCTTCTCCTTTCCAACCAGACAGTTTAGCAGTTTAATCTGGCATCGTAGGAGAGAGAGAGAGAAACCGCGCTTTCAAGGAAATGAAAGCAAAAAGCCCATTAGCGAGTGTTTAGGCAGCAATTGCGGTGATCAAGTAAAAAGCTGAACCTCGCGGGAGTTCAGGGCTCGGGGAATATTTGCGGGGCGGGAAAAGGGGCGAAGGCATGAAAGAGGCAGAAATTGGCCTGCCCTTGGGTACTATTTGCCAGCTTTAAAAGCCATTCCAGTAAATTCACGGTCCTGCTCAAAATCATCTTGCTGTAAAGTTTGTTGTCTTTAGCGCGTGCGTTTGCATCCGTTCAGATCGTTCTATTTTTTTTTTTAAAAAAAAAAAGCCGCCTCCGTATTGGACAGAGGAAGAATTGTTACTTGCTTATAACATTTGGGCCTTAGTCGCCCTTTCTCTCACTTTCTGTGGCTTCCCGTACAGGGAGACTGAGTTAATCCACCAAGGGAACACACTTACACTCAAAGCTCCACCATGTGGCAAGAGCGCATCAGTCACTGGATACGGAGTGTCTGGAAATAGCAGTTGAATGGAAGAAATAGCTTCTCGGCAAATTCTGACAAGTCAAAGGCTGCCAGCAAGTGGAAAGAAAACG